CCTTTTGTGACCTCATTGCTTGTTTTACAGCTGTCACTGAGACTCTGGTCCATGCCTGGAGAGGCAGGCGTGCACATCTTGATACCCTTGCTTGCTCACATGCTCTCTCTGACTGTCTTTTATTAACACCCCCAGCCCAGTTATTCATCCAGTCTGTGACTCAGGGAATAAATTTCCCCTCTGTATGGACAGGATGCTGTGGGAAGCATAAGCAATAATCTGGAGGCCAAGACTGGGAAATCACAACCCAGTAGCAGATTTGCTCATTTCTCACTTGGGTCCTTATTCTGCTTTTTAGAATTTGGGTACACTGTATTTATTATTTACACATTATTATTTACATATATTTTACATTAGTTTTCACATTTAATTTTAGGGAAATCTGTCACAGTCCTGCTCATGTGATCACTTTTTCCTCTGCCCTAGAGGATGGCCTCAGTAATTCAAAAAACAGGCAAAATGAACCTTTCTCTGTAGAATCTTTATACCTGAATAAAATGCGTATGACGACAGTGTCAAAATATTTACTATAAAGACAGCAGAGATGTTTTGAGAGGTCGTGCAGGCTAGGATGTGAAGACAACAGCACTTTTCCATGCTGTTTTAGGTATCCTGGAGGAATTATGGGAACAGTTGAGATGACAAAAGCACAAAGCAGGTCTTTAACAATAGAGAAAGCTGCTGGAGAGGAAGAAACTAAAAGCCTCAGGCAGAATCTCACTGTGAAGCAAGCAGAGTTAGCCCTTCTGTCTTGCTGATGAGTGTTGCCCAAAGGAGGTGCTAGATTTCCCACGCCAGGGTAGACTGAGTTCAGGCAAAAAGAGATTAATGCATTCCTTGTGAGTGACATGGACAGAAGGCACAAGTTAGGCAGTGCTGTGTGTGATAGACTTGGAACACAATGCAGGTAGGAAGTAGAACTCTGGGAGTATGTGAAGGTGCAGGTACACACTGAAGATATGGTGATAACGAGGAAGTCAGCTTGAGCTGTGACCCATTGAGTTTCGTAGTGACTCATGAAGGATGGTCATGAGGACTGAGAAAATAGGTGTTTCCTTGTACTGTCTTGACTGAGGGAAGTTTAGTAAGTTTTCACTTTGATAGAAGGAATGTTTTGGATGGAGTGAAACTGATTTCAGGTGAGTTCTGAGAAGCTACAGTGCACGTGACCCCAGTGTACTATACCCGTAAGTAATTTTCTTTTCTACCCATTACAGAATGTGGAACAGGTTGATATTTGATGATTTTCCAGCTCGCTTCTCTCTGAAATTAACTGTACATTAGCCAGACCTGCAAAGACAAACCTCTTTGTTGTTCAGTTGGATTACAGCCAGCATGAAAGCAACAAAGTCAGAATCACTTATTTGGAAGTGAACTCCCTCATTTTTTTAAAAGCTATTTTTAGACGATTGTTAAAGTTTCCTCCTCTGGCACAGGGTATTTTTCAGTGTTTTGCTGAGTTGCATAACATCTCACTTAGGTTTTGGAAAGTTCATTTTAACATGCTTGATTATCACGTCTTTTTGGTTCTTAAATTTAGGTAGATTTTTTTAAAAATTATTAGACTTCATCACTTACTCCTTTGTCCCCTGTGTTGTTGTAGTCACATACTAAATTGAAATTAGTCTTTTGAGTGTATTTGAAAGAAGGGAGAGGATCAAGGTGCTCTGAGTGGCACTGATTCTCTCACCTGGGAACATGCTGGGGCTCTCAATCTTGTAGAGCACTGAGGTGTGTTGACCCCCTCTGGCAGCCAAGCCCCCCTCTGGTCACTCAGTCACTGCCCCAAAATGGGATGGGGGAGAGGATCAGAAGGGCAGGTGTTCAGAGGGTCTTCTCTGGTGAGCCAGAAATAATGCCAGCCTAAAACAGGATTAGAAGAATGCCAATCAAAACTGTACTAGGCTATCCAATTTATGAATTTACGTGCTTTCCTGTGGCGTTGCATATTTATAACTGGTATGACTCTATAATAAAGAATTCAGGCTCAATTCTTTTATTCTTGCCTCTTTAGAGATGTGTTGAAGAGAACCTCTTAGTTTATGCACAAGAAGTAGTAATACAGTAGTGAAGATCTGTTGGTATAGATTTAGTTGTGCTGCTAAGTTTTCCTTGTGCTAAATGTAAGTTGTATTTTTTTAAGGCTTTTAAGGAAAGAGTAATTCTTTACTTTGGCTTTATCTTGGGCTTTTTCTTTTTTTTTTTTTTTGTTTTAAGATATGCTTTTATGTTATAAAGACAGGACGTTAAGAGGACTAAAAGGAGGACAGGTTTAAAGGTTTCACAGAACTCTAGTGGTGCAGAGATCATTTGCTCAGCTGTTGCAGTTAATGCAGGATTTCTCTCTATTCTAGTCCTAAGACAAGTGCTCAGTGTACCTTATATATAACTTTGTTTACTACTACTGTGTAGTATTTCAGAACCTTTTCCAGCTCTTCAACATGCCTTTAAAAATGGAAACTCAAACTTGTCTCTTGGGAGTTTGTTAAACTGAATAACTTCATTCAGTCAGAAAAAACCCCAACATAATATACTTTCCCTATTCTCCTAATTCTTGTGACCCAAATGCATTTCCACATTGGGTCCATACCCTGGAATTTGCTGGTCATGCTCCTTGCCACTTACCCAGATTATTCGTCTCAACTTCACCTGCCTCACAGATGTGGAAATCTGTTATGATGAAAATAGCATTTGAAAGTAGGTAGATTGACACACAAAGCAATCTGGTCAGTGGCTTTGTGCTTCTCATTCTACTTTTCTGAATTTCCCTCAGCATACCATTCTCTACTTGGTATTCTATTTCTCAGGATGGAATGAATTATTCCAGGTGGCTTCTTACCTGAGCTGCAGGCAAGTCCTCTTCTATTCTGCCTAATAAGACCCCTTTCATAAAGACACAGTTCTTTCTCCTGCTGCTTCAGTTTCCCTCTGTACCTCCCTCAGGGCCCTGCTGCTCATTATCTTGTATTACCTGGCCTTCTACCAAATTCACTTTAATTTCCAAACATCTTTGTAAGTGTTTTCTACTGTACCTCAGTCTTCACTCGTGTTTCCAGCACCACCCTTTTTACACTTACTTGCAGATGTCATCAGTTCAATTTAGTTCCCTTTTATAGGTATTGAAGAAGCTGGATAAGATGAGCCTTACCAGGTAATGCCTCTGCACAGCTTAGTACCATTTTGGTTTATTCTGTTGTGACATTGTGCATATCTAAGTTAAATAAATTGGAAATTAAGTATTCCTGAGACACTTCAAGCTTTTACTTAAGTGTAATGTATTCTGTAGTTACCACATCCAGGACTTTTTTTGTTTGGTTGTTTGACTGGGGGGTCTTGTTTTAGTTTTTTTGGCAGAGTGAAGGCACTTCCTGCTGTAGCCTTATTGCATTTCTATAATGGTCCTTGGAAAGACATTTATTACTTTCAGGGTTATTTAACCTCTTAGCAGCTGGGCATTATTGGTGAAGCTGTTTAAGTATAAGTAAGTATGGCCAGTCTTCGCGAACAAAGATTTTGGGAAAGGTCTTTTACCTTTCCAGCCTGCGCAATGGATTTTTTAGGTGAGACACAGCATGCGCTGAACTGAGCCCACCCTTTAATCCTAAGGTTCATCTGCCGGGGCCAAGCGAGTTTGGACAATGGCAGTGAGGTCCTCAGGACGTAGGTTTGTTTAGAGTGACCTTCTCATAGATGGATGGCCTTACAGGGCTGACGAGCTCCATCTGCCCGGGGGAGTGTCCCTGACCGGGAATCGAACCCGGGCCGCGGCGGTGAGAGCGCCGCATCCTAACCACTAGACCACCATGGATCCCCTCGGTGAAGCTGTTTACCTAACAAATAAAAGCCACTGTATTTTTAAATCCATTGTGCCTTATACTCTAGATCCATTATTTTCTACATTCATTATGACTGTGCATCCAATTTGGGGCCTGCCAGTACCATCATGGTGAAGGAGTCCAGGGGAAGGGCTGCCAGCACAATCAGGGGCTGGAGCGCTTGCTGTGGGAGAAGAGGCTGTGGGATCTGGGCTGGTTCAGTCTGAAGAAAGGATGGCTTCAGGTTGATGTAATAGAACCCCTCTGTGCCTGTGGAGTGGTTATCACAGTAGGGGACTCAAACTCTTTCTGATATGAACAGTGGGAGGGTGCATAAACAATGTGCATAAATTGAAATGAGAGTTAACTTTATATATGGGAAAAAAAATTCCCTGTGAGAACAGTCAAGAAAAGAACTGGGTACTCAGAGCTGCTGTGCAGACTCCATCCATGGCGGTTCTCAAGACCCAGCTATGCAAAAAATCCTGAGCAACCTTAACTCTAATGTGAGTAGGAGGTTGGGCCAAAGACCAGCCATCCAAGGTGAATCATTTCACAGTTCTGGACCATTCATCAGCCTATACCACTCCTTATTCTTCAGATATACCACTCCTGATCCTTCATGTCTCAGGGTTTGTTTCCCTATTTGAATAACAGTAAGTACATTGGATTAGCTCTAATTTCTTCAGTCTTTTAAAATCCAGGTTGCATTTCCAAACATGCCTCTTATGTAGTTTGGCAGATGTATCTTTGTCAATTGATAAGTTCTTTGTAAAGAACTAATTTCGTCATCTTTGAAAATAAGGGTGAGAATTCTGTTTGTCAGCCGGTCTGGTGTTTCCATGATGTTTGACAGCAGAGCACATTACTATGATTAATTTATAAAAGAAAATAGGGTGTTCTGAAATGACTGCAGGACATGGTTTCCATGAAATGTGAACAAGTTGGAACTAAAACAAGCTATATCTAATATTTCAATTCCCATCCGAGGTCCTGCTTTCTTAACCATAAATAATGTACAGCCCTCTTTTACATACACTTCTGGACACTAGTGCTCAGTGTAGTGTATATATCTTTGTTCCTTCTTAGTTTATTTTCTCCTGGGCCTTATAGCTGCTGCAATAAAATATTTTAAGGTATGGAATGATGATCTCCAAAGTCTTTTTTATTGGTTCTTTTACAGAGGTGGCTGCAGAAGCTTTTCTTGTTTCTCTGTTCAGTGAAGACAGATTGAAATATCTTGACTTGAGTGCCTACTACGCAATTTCCCAAAACAGTGTCGCTAAATTGTAATTGGGGAAAAGCATAATTTTTCATATTGATTGCAGTACAACAATAAAAGCTTTTCTTTTATTCCCTGTGTGGTTTTGCTTCAGAGAGATAAAATCACTGGTGCATTTGTGGTTTTATGTGAATGAAATGTCTCTTCTCAGTTACTATTTCAAGACAAGCTTGCTAATTCCCATTGTCCTACTCTAAAATTGAAGCTACAATGTGTAAGGCCTGCTGGGATTTCAGAGGGTTGGGACATTCCCATCTGCATATATTCTGCCTGTGGCTGAGGAGTGGGTTGAGCAGATGGAGTGGTTGGTTCTCACAGTTTCCATAATTTTTGTTGGTAGTTCAAATCTGTCCATCGATAGTCACATAGCTAAGGATGTAAAACAAAGCCTGATTTTCCCTTGGCTGATTGTGCTGCATTTGTATCTCAAGCAGTATATACTTCAGGGATATGATAAAACGCTGGGACTGTAAAGTTGGTAACACTGCAAAAATGTGTATGGGTTGTGCAGAAAGATGTTTATGTTTAAATATAATGCTCTTGCCTAGAGCCATCTGGTTTATACTGTCCTTGAATTCTTTTCCAGATCTCTGTCTTGTTTTCTGAGTTTGTCATATGATGGAACATTTGCTATTAATTAGAAAAGCCCTAAATGTCCTTACTTAAGAAAAGCAGCTAACTCAAATCTCAGGAAACTCAAGCATATTAATTCAGAGCAGGGTTGTCTAAGGCACAGCACCATTTACAGACCAAGTCCACTCAGTCTGCCATCACAACATTTGGGAAAAGTTGGGGGTTACTACAGAGGAAGCATACATAACCCCTACAACTGCATGTGTCCCTAGGTACACACTGATAAGGAAGCTGTTGGCTGCTGTTACTGCATCATCATGTGAAAAGGAAGGGAAGCAGAACTGATTATTTCAGAGTATGGCTGGTGGGTAGCACTGAATTACATAGGTAGCTCTGAGCTTCAGGTAGAAGTACCTGCAAGAGGGCTGTAAAATAGGTGATACAAACCTTTACTTGCTGCCAGAGACTTCAGACTACTGTGACTCAGAAAAAAACTTGGCTGGTCACAATACATAAGTATTCCTTCTCTGTTTTCTAACAGGAGCCCAAGCTGGCATTTATTCTCCTCCGAGTGTGGAAAAGGGGGAAGAATTAGAGAGATAAGGGCTTCTGTGGTATCCCACACATCACACTCTTGTAGACTTACTCTTGAATCTCATGCTTTTGCTAGGCAGTGGAACTGACCTCAGCAAAAAGTCTTAACCAGGTTAATACGAATCCAGTTTTGACCCACAGCACCTTGAGGAGATTGTGTAATGTTCTGCTGGTGCAGGAGGGACTGTTTCAGTCCTGTTATATGTATATAAATGGGACTTCAATGGAGGTTTTTGAGGGTGCACGAACTGTGCATTATCAGAGCTCAGAGAAGCAGATTATAAATTTCTCTGGTTCTCTGCTGTTGAGCCTGGGCAAATGGGAAATCTTAGTAACAGGATTAAAGAGCACCAGAAATTACATTCACAGAAATACTCTGCTGGAGTGATTCGGGAGGATAAATGTGAGAATCTCATATGGTTGGTGCACACAAACTCAGGAAACATTTCTTCCCTTCCTGCTGCTCACCTCCCTTCCTTTAAGAAATACCTACACTTAAATTTGATTGGATGTAGATATATGGTATGTTAGGAACTTGAAAAATTACACTAAAATTTGTATATCCTAGGCAGCTAAGCCACACTGTACATGTGTGCTGGTTTAAAAGTTAACCAGCAAGGGAAAATGAACTCAATTCAAAAGAGAGATTTATAAGTCAGAATAACAATTTATTAAAATAATGCAATAAGTACAATTATACAGACAGACAATTGGTTTTAACCCACAAAACCCAAATGTATAAACCAGCACCCTAGGGTATGAACAAGAGTGGTGTACCTTGGCCCACCCCCGAGTCCAAAGCAAAAGGAGAGGGGAAAAACCTGCTGGTGGGAGAGCTGCTGCAGTCTGGTCAGAAGTGGTGATTGCAGTCCAGTCGAGGGTGGTGGTCTCAGTCTAGTTGAAGGCAGTGGTCTGGAGTCTTCCTCTGGATCCCACGAGAGGTCGCAAGGCTCTGAAACTCCCAGTTATATACTCTCCAGTTCAGGCGGGAGTGCTCAGTCCCTCCCTCAGAGTAGGGAATTCCATAAAAGGGCATGCGGATGCTCAGTCCCTCTTCCATATAAGGGTATCAGAGCGGGGAATTCCATATAAGGATATCAGAGCAGGGAATTCCATAAAAGGGTACAGGAACATCTTCCCACCTTGCAGGCCTCTACTGACAGCAGTTTTTGGGAAATGGCATGGAGGCTATAGAATACACAGTTTTGGGTTACACCCATCCAGGGATGAATTGGTCCCAGCCGTTCTAACCAGGACAACATGCAATTATATATTTGTGATTACAATTTAATTGGAGTGGGAAGGGAACAGTAGGACAAGACTTGTTTTATCTCCACTGTGGAAGTTTTGTGGAATATGTTTTTTATAAACTTTCTGTCTCAGTCCAGGCCTTAGTAATAGCTCTTTCAAACTGCCCTAAGAGAGGTTGACACCTTTTTAATCTGGAATATATAGTGTGTATCAGTATGGGGTTTTTTAGATTGGAACAGACCTTCAAATACATTATCTGATTCTGAAATCTTAGAACAAGACAAGAAAATAAATTGCTTTCCCTCATTTTCTGGGTCAAATCCAGTTTTATTTTTTTCCTCTTTGTTATAGTGGACATTTGGATTCCTGCTGATTAGATTGCTTTGCAGTAATGTTAGCACAGCCAAATTGGCAAGAAGATAACCCATTGTGTGAGTCAAGAAAGAGCAAATCAACAGTGGCATCTGTAACTCTTTTACCCTCCCAGTTGAGACTACAAGAGTATTTTGCAGAGTACTTTGAGATACGCTCAGTGACTGAAATTGAACTGTGTCAGAAAAACTTGAGATCGCAAGGCAAGGAAGGATTCTTCCTTCAGAAGAAAACTGTTAGCTTGCTTTTAGTTTGTTCCCAGCCTTAAGCCCCTCAGAAATTTCAACATCTGTATGGCTAGAAGAGTCTCAAATACAGTCTTAGGTTCACTTAGGGGAATTGAATAAACACTTAAGCATATGTTACAAATTCACTTATGTGATGCCAAGGATTTGCTCCGTGAGCCCCAGGTTCTGTAGTGAGATTTCCTCCAACATGGAAGTGGTAGGGCCTCTGGTGAGATTAGAGGAAGAGTAAACGAAATAGTGATGGAAAAAGCCTGTCGCTAGGACAGCAAGTCTTGTACCAGACACAGAACACTATTCTGTGACTGTTCCCAGGAGTCTGGGGAGAGCAGGAAGAGGAATATATGCATTTGGCTGATGAGGGTTCAGTTTGCAGGCACTGGGGGGTTGCTGCTTCTGCCCAGGTAGCCACTTCTAGCTTTGGTGCCTGTCCTTCACTGAGTGCTGTGCAACTTGTTTCAAGCTTGGCTATTTGTAGTAATATTTTGTGTAAAATGCAGTCTGGGTCCATCTAATGACAAATTCAGCTTCTGAGACTGGATGAGGTGCCTGAGGCATAGCTATGTGTGAAAGGTAGCCATCAGTACCTTCTTGTGTAGGTTCTTGGAACAGACAAAATACTTTGTTACTTGAAAATGGACTAAGACAGCTGGGGAGTGTGGTTGGGAGGAGGAGGAACAAGCACCTTCCTATTGCAGTGTAAAAATACCCTTGAGAAAGCAGCTTAATTAATGTTAGTTTTTTATGACTATTACTTATTTTAAAAAGCTGATTTATCTCAACAAGATTTTAAAAGTTTATTTTTCAGTACATATTCCCAAGTATTCTGGCACGTTTAGCAGTTAGGTGCATTTCAGCTAAGTAAAATCATAAAGTATTCCACTATGTTGAGCAAGTTAAGAAAAAAAAAGAAATAACAGGTTACTTTGTAAAATTGCCTTTTTTTTCCCCCAGTAATAATGCATTTTAAACTTCACCCTTGCTGTTGTAAATCTGATCCTTGTCACTAAGTTTTTTTTAAAAATATCTGTTTATCGACTTCAATTTCTGGAAAGAGTCTTTCGGCTTTTGTGTTCTCTGGGGCTTACATATCTGTGGCAGCTGAGTGTGCTGCTGCATACTCAGCATTGCAGCTGAAAGAGGCAAAAATGGTGACTGCAAACAGAGACGGTATTAATTGCTCCCTGCACTTAGTTAAATAGCTGCATTGATGCATAACAGCAGGAGGGAGAGGGTTAATGAGAGGCTAATTCCATCTTCATAGGGACCACAGGGCTGAATGGAAACAGCTGCTGCACAGAGAGTTGCTGTGTTCAGCAGCTTTAGTGAGGAGAGGGAGCAGAAAAGACAGAAAAGAAAGAACAAATAAAAGTGTCCTATGTCTGGACCCCAGTAAGAGAAGAAATCATATCAGGCAGAAGGGAAGGAAGGGAGAGTTCAGGCTGGAATTGCAGACTGGAGGAGGGGGTACAGCCACCTGCATGCCCTTGACCTCTCTCTGTGAATGTCAAGGCTTACAATTCAGTCAACACAGTATAGGGTAGGTGTAGCTTGGATTTAAAACTGCACAGCTGTGTAAATGCATCCTTAGCTGAGCTAGTGGACTTGTTAGAAAGTGGGGGAATGTTGCTTGGGATGGAGGCTGGATATATATGACATTGATTCACCAGAACTGCATGCTTCTGATGGCGTTTGTCAAAACATGAATGAAAATAGGAGCTCGGTTCACTGAGGTGAGCAGCTCAAGAATCAAGTTATCCACAGCTCTGTAGAATATGAATAATTTGGGTAATTGTCATCTCTGGTACTTGCCATGATGTCATCACTTGACAGTTGCCTTCTTTCACTTGTTACACAGTTGTGTGCACAGACATGTCTTCCCTTCCTACTCACATACCAGCATTCACATACAAAACCTTTCAGCAGATATGTCTGCATTTTGAACTAAACCTTGCTCCTGTG